ATTAGCTGACTCTACTTCAGAACAATTAAGCAAACATGCTTCTGAACTTAATACTTTACTTTCTGATTAGATGGTCTGCAGATGTGTTAAAGTTACTCTTACTAATAGTACTAATAATAGATATTCATTTAGTAAAAAGAAAATAGACACTTTCATGTCAGATAAAAGAAAGAAAAACCTTACCATAGAGGGAAGGGTGGAATTTTGCATTACAACTAGTGATACTATAAATATTTTTACCTATCATCTAGACTTAAGTCTAAAAAATAAAGATAAAATTAAAATTGTTACCAGTGTTTTGCGTTAGTTAACATTCTGTGTAAAGTTAGCAAAAGGTGATATAGATTCTGCAATTATTGAAGAATTTGTTAAAGATAAGGACCTTATTTAAGATTCTAATAAATTCAAAAAGAACAAACTAAAAAGCAAATGGCTAATTCAGGTAAAATCTGAATTCTAAAATACTTATCATTAAAGAAGATGCTTAAAAAGATTCAGAATATGAATATTTCTAAAGTTTTAACTAAAGAAGATCTAGTAAATGTAATTGTAATATTAAGTATGAGACCTGCAGAAGTGAGATTTCTTTAGATCAATCACTATGAAGTTAATCTATCCAATCCTCTGGTATGGTATGAAATGGTTATTCTTGGTATTGTATAAGCTATTTAAAGAGTAGAGGAGAAAAGAAGAAGAAACCTGATCTCTGACTATTTTTTTCCATTAAGAAAAATTTAAAATGCGCAAGAGAATTGCTCACCTAAATTCAAGAAGTTATTAAGGCAGGAAAGTTGCGAGATCCTATTTATACTGAAAGTAGAACATGTAATACTTGACCATTTAATGAATTGTTAAAGCAAAAGCTTTATACAGTAGTGGTCATAAGTATCTGACTGCCCAAGATCGTTCAAAATTATTATATAACTACCTCTTAAATTTTCCAGAAATATAATTTAACACAATACATGATCACCTGTAAATTTATAAGTGTCGATGATACAAAAAAAAAATTTAGATGATCATCAAACTTTCGCTTGAAAAATGAAACTTTTTTTAGAGAAACGATATGAAATTATCTTTTTACGTGAACACCCAGCTGGTTTAAAGTTTAATTTTGGATTTATTACTAAACAGGTACGTTGTAGTAAGTCTACAGCTATTTATTAGGTTAAAATATATCATGAAAATTGGGACCTAAATACTTCAGAAAGACCAGGATGGCCTTGTGTAATATCTATGAAATAAGATGATAAGATTATAAAGATAGCAGAGAAAGAATATAATATAATAGCCATTCAAATACAAGAAAAAATGGAAGAAAGAAGTGTTAGGCTTAGTGTAGAAACAGTAAGGCGACGTCTTCGTAAATCTGAAGGAAAGTTTAGTAATGAAATTTCTAAACCTTTACTTAAAGAAGACCATCAAAAGAAAAGGTTGCAATGAGCAAAAAAACATAAGAATTTTGATTGGAATCGAGTTATTTTTACAGATAAGAATACATTTTAATTATATATATCAAAAAAAAGGTTTGGCAGTTTCCTGGTAGAAAAAAAGTATTTTGTTCTGTTAAGCATCTACCAAAAGTTCATGTTTGGGAATATTTTTCTGCTTCTGGATTTAATAAGCTATTTTGCTTTCAGAGGAACCTTAATGCTGAATTTATGTGTACTATTTATGAGCAGGGTCTTCTGACTTCCACTTTTAAACTTTTTAGTAAAGGTAACATAGATTGGATCTTGCAAAAAGATAATGATCCAAAGCATCGATCAAAAATCACAAAAAAATGGAAGGAAAAAAATGGTATTGAGGTACTTTCTTGGTCATCAATATCTCTAGACCAAAACCCTATAGAAAACGTTTGGAGATTAATGAAAATTAATATACAAAAAAAAATTTGATCAATTAGAGGGTTAAGTAAAGAACTTATAAAAGAATGAAACTGATTATCACCTGTACTTATCGTAAATTTGTTAGCTAGCATGAAAAGGTGTACAGCTGCACTTATAGAGTCAGATAGTTACTACACAATATATTAATTTTAGTTAGTTGGTTATGTATTTTTTAAATAAAAAAAATTTGAATTTACTTACTTGTAGCCAGAGTTAAAGGTGATCAGATATTTATAACCGCTACTGTATTATACAATTTTTATTAATTTCAAATTTTTTTTTATAGTTTTTCTAATTTTTATAGATATTAATTTAATATTATAATTATATATTTATTATAGTATCTAATTTAATAAATATATTTTTAAACTTAATATATTTTATATAATGATTATATTTTTTCAACTTTAGATACTTTTGAATTCTGAAGATTTATTAAATTATAAAATATAATTATAAAATATTACAAATTAAGTAATATAAAGATAATATATTAATATATTTAAAATTAATTACTATTATTTTTAAAAAATTAGTTAAATTAGTAAATATAATCTCTTTCTCATATTTGATAATATAAATTATTTATTAAAAAAATCAGATTCTAGAAAATTTTTAAATAAAATTTTAAATGTTATTAAATTAAAATTTATTAAATTCTAGAATCTGATTTTTCAGAAATATTTATATATAATATATTTACTTTATATATATAATATCTATAATAAAGATAGTGCTCAATTAGTTATAATAGGTGAAAAATAAGCATCACAATATTGCAATACCATCTTAATTAAGGATGGTCCCCATAATTATTTTCAAATTTCAATTGAGTTGCAACTTAATTGCGCCATAAGGAAATTTAATTGCGTCACAAGTTGCAACTCAATTGCGCCATTTTTTTCAATTGCAGTGATCATCTTTAATCTTAATCTATAGTAAAAGTAAATGTCGTAATTAAAAATAACACAATTAAATTGCAATTAAATTTACTTATAATGCAATTAAATTGCAACTTAATTGAATATAAAATAATTATAAGAATCAACTTTAATCTATAACTAGTATTAGGCAATTTGTATATATCAGATAAATTTTGATCTTATATTTGTATTGTACTATACTAAATTTTATATTAATTATTATATATATTAATTGTATTAAATTATATTAATTATACTAATTTTTTAACTTAGTTTATAATTATAGAAATTAGTAAATATATATATACTAATTAAAAAATGATAAAAAAAATAGATATTATAAATTATCATTTTTAAATCTAATCTTTGATATATATTTTACAATCATTTCAAATTATTTAAATTCTTTTTATTATAAATTAAATAATTATTTAATAAATTAAAAATAAATAATAATAATAAAAATAATAAATATAAAAATTATTATAAGTTGATTTTGAAAATTATCAATTAAATAAATAATATTCATATTTTTTATTATCTTTTATTAATGAATTTTACTTTATCTTTAGTCTTTTAATTCATAAATTATTTGATTTTTAATTAATTTTTTTAATTATTTTTTTTTAATACTATTGTTTAAAATAAATTTATAAAAAAGATGAAAATATAATTCTTTTTTTTAAAATTAGTTTTTTTTTTAATATATTAAAGAAATAAAACTTTTTAAATTAAAATAATTATTAATTATCAATTTGATAATTTAATAAATATTTATTAAATTATTAAATTACAAATAATTTTAATTAAATATTTTTTTAATTAATTTATAAAAAAATTAATATTTTATTTTTTAAAAAAAAAATTACCAATTAAATTAATTATTAAAATTTTATTAATTTAATTATAAGATTTAAAAATTTAAGTTATATTTTATTTTTTAAAAAAAAAATATATATATATATATTAAAAATTAATAATTTTAATTAATTAATTTTTTACTTAAAATTTATTTTGATTATAATATAAAATTTATAATTATTATAAACTAATATATAAAAGTAAATATTATATATATTATTTAAAAATAATTATTAATTAAATTAATTATTAAAATTTACTTTTAATCTTATTATAAATTAAAAATTCAAATAATTTAATCAAATTTTAATATTTTTTAAAATAAGGTTTTTAATTTTTAGTACAGTCAACTCTCTCCAAATGCATCCTCTCAGACTATAGTGAAATTTTAAAAAATGTGCATTTAAAGAGGATGTGCATTTAAAGAGAAAATTTATATATGAAATCTATATGCTTAAGACCAAATAAGAGCGTGCATTTTGAGAAAAAATATATAATATATGCATTTAGAGAGAATTGACTGTATATTAAAATATGTTTTTTTAACAAAATAAAATATTATAATTCTAATAATAAAAAAGTTTTTCTTTTTAATTATCTACTAATTTTTATTAATTTATTATTTATTATTTAATTTTATTCAAATCTACAAAAAAAATTTTTTTTTATTATAAAAAAAATTTATTATTCCTTTAACTAAAAATTAAAAAATTTATAAATTATTATGTAAATTTTACATTATAATTGATTGAAAAATATGATAAATTTAGATAAATATCTTTATTATTAAGTGATAGATAAATAATTATATTTAAATCAGCATTTACAAAAAGATTTCAATCATAAAATTTTTGATAATTTTGATTTAAATTAAGAAATATTAAATATTTTTAAAATTCAGATTTTCAAAAAAAACATATCCTTTAAACTGTAAAGGTTCGCAGGCAAATTTGTCTGCTCTACAGTTTAAAGGATAATTTTGATAATAAATAAAGATAAGTATAGTTAAATCTTATTTAAATGCATACATTATATATTTTCTTTCTAAATATATACAAATTTTCTCTCTAAATATACATCCTCTTAAATGCATATTTTTTTAAATTTTTACTATGATCCCAAAGAGGTGCATTAAGCTATATTTAGTTTTTGTTTTTTTATTAAATAATACACTATTGATATTGTCCTACTTTGTTTATCTATCTCATGATTTTTACTTTCATCCAATAAGAATCTTGTATATAGCAACAAGTCATCTATGGTGACATCATATAATGGCTGTTGGAATAACTTCCAACAGAAATGTTTTTATAAATGAACTTATAAAATGCTCAAACCGAGACGTAATGATTCGGGCTCAACAACGGAATCTGTTAACATATCACCATCAAACAGTCCTAGAATCTCCCTCCAAAATGCTATTTCGGAACCCGTAACATCAGTTTCTACCGAAAACAAAACTGAAAATTCAACAATTATCGATAAACCACTACCTCCAGATCCACCGATAAAAACAGCCCAAAATGAAGAGGAAGAACTTCCTATTCCTCCCGAGTTTATAGACCATTATGCAGACGTCAAAGTAAAATGGCAAAAAATGGATGATGAACCCCTTATATATAGAGATAAATTTATAGCCATTACCAAGACTTATTTATATATTTTTAATTATTATATTCCTGACGGAAGAGACAAAGCTATTCCTATGACTAGTATTAAAAATGTTCAAACTGATGAAGAAGCAAAAATATCTGATTTAGCCCATCAAAAATGGTAAGAAATATTAGTTTATGAAAGGCTTATTCTTTAGGTGAATTAATGTCGCTAATTTTATATCTACTTATGAAGGGGAGCTGGTTCAATAGATCTTTGGGTAAATATCACATAGACGCGTTTTTATATTACTTTTTTTTTACTAATTCTTTTATTTTTCTTTGTAGTGGGCAAAGGATTTCGGAAGGTGGAAAGGTCATGATTTATGTATTATTGTTACTGTTGACCATGGGTTAGTTAAGAGAAAAGGATTTACTTTAGAAAACATTGAAGGTTTATATTTATTGAAAAAAGCTTGGAAAACTGCAAAGGGTGAACCATTTAACGAATAATAATATTAATAATAAATCTTTTAATATTTTATATGGTTATATGGTTAATTTATTTATAAAAACTTGCCTTTTATCCTTCTAACTAGAAAAATTATTCAATAGAACATATTATATAAGAAACGCGTAAAGATGATAAACTGCGATGTTGTGTTAATAAATAGACGTTTTAAGAAATTACTATAACAGTACTAGATAACAGAGGTTGATCTACAAACTAAGAAATTTACACTATTTTTCCTTAACAAAAAAAAAATAAAAAAATAAAATAAATAATAAATCATCGCAATATCAAATGAGTTATTGATTACTATTAGACGGAGATTGTTTCTTCGTTATTTTTGTCTTATTTCTTTAAAGACAAAATGTTGCAAAAATTATTTCGCACAAAACCTACGAATAAAGATGTAGAAGACTCGAATACTCGAGCATTATTGGAGGCTGACTCGTATGTATTTTTATGGCCTTGCCTTGAGCAAGTTTATCCAGTTTAATATGGATGGTTTTCATCGGAAATTTTATTATGGTGTAAAAGATTTGACATTTTATAGTTATTATAAATCCTTAGTTATTTAAATATTGTATTTTTTATTTTTTATTGAAGTTACATTCCTTAACTTTTTTTTTTTTTTTTCTAAAAAAAAAAAAAAATTAATAATATTAATATTATTTTTAATAGCTGGTCACCGCCTTCCTTCAATTCCAACCAAATTCGCGTCATTTTATGTCAGGATACGGGTGACAAAGCAAAATTAACGTTATATGATTCGGCAATTCCAGTAACATCAAATTCTTCGGAAAGACCAACCTCCGAACTTTCTTCTTCTTGGAGTGGAGTTGGCTTTTTTCTTCCAAAATCTAGCAGTGCTATAAATATTAAATCTAATAATCCGGTTAATACAACAGGTCACCCTCCTTCTCATCATCGTAATCATCATCACCACAATAATTTAGATAGCGACAATAAAAGAAAAAGTTTTGATTCCATTAATAAATCTAGTATAAAAACTTTACCTCCTTCCATGAATCGTAGTAGTCATACGCTTCTCTCGCAGAGAAAGGTAATTTTTGACATGGAATTTGGTTTTATTGTTCAACACTAACGTTATTTTATTATAATAAATTAGACAGCTCATAATATAGATTTAATTGGTGAGATGATGTTTGGAGCTGTTCCTTTATCTTACAAAGGGATGACAACCAAAATTCATTTTATTAAATCCCCAAAACCTCAAATTTTGTTAACAAAATTGTTCTCAATAAGTCCTGCCGATTTTGAATCTAATTCTCCCGGAAGACGTAGTTCTTTTTCTTCTATGAGTAGTGATACTTCTGTATCTTCCTCTACACAAGGTAGTTTAGCTATCAATAATGAATTGCGTAATATTACAAGACAAAAATTTGGATCAAGTTCAATATATTTTGACGATCATTCGGAATCGAGCGATGACGATTCTTTTCGTTTTATTCCTAATTATTCTTCTTCTCCCTCATTTTTTCATCCTGGACCTCCAATCCTTGGTTTGAGAACGAATGATATTTCGGTATATTCAACTTCTTCTCTTTCAACTTCACCGCGTAATAATTTCACTAATAGAAGAATGCGAAGATACAGTCAGACTAGCATGGAAAATGGTATATTTAACCCAACTCCTTTGCCGGGAAGTATTGCGCGACTTGAATCATTAACTAGTCGGCTGGATCCTCTGAACAATAGTAATGTATGTCTCTTGTGTCATATGTATATATATTTTTAAAATATTTATGAATTAATAGCTTTTTTATTAACTATATTTAATTATCAGTTAAGTTTGAAGCATCCTTCACGTTCTATGATGTATGCTATTGGAGTCGTTATAACGTTAGAAAATAATGCAACGTTGGAAGAATTTATATTCTCACATTTCGCGTTACTAGAAAACAGGCTACATCAGCTTCATTCTACAGCTTTTAGATTACTTTGCCACTTTCTTAAAAAATCTTCACCATCATCATCTATTAACGGACCTAATTCAGTAAACTTTAATTTTGAGATTATGCAATTTTTTTTTTTTTTTAAAGCTATTTTTGTTTAGTCTTTTCGCTTAATATTTCTTAGATATTTAATCCGACGAATAGGAGAATTTCCGTGGCATCTCTTTCCCCATTAATGCTCCAAAACGAACAAATCTGGTTAGATGCAGTTTTGCGATTTAAGACATCGTTTTGCCAATTGTATAGTACGCCGCGAATCCAGGTATCAATGACATAAGAAAAGAATTCACCACCCACTACGAAATAACTCTTTGGAAAATGTTACTTCACCTAAAGTGCGCTTTTCCTCAAAAAAAAAAAAAAAAAAAAAAAATAATTGCGTACGCATTAGCAAAGGTGGCAACCACTAACTCCTTAATCATCCCTTCCAAAACTTTGCGCAAGGAGCCATTGTGGTTAAACATGTCGACATTTCCGCAACAAAGAAGTAAACTCGCTAAAAGCCTGTTGACTGAACTAACTTTTTTGTTGGAAAATTTTGATAAAGAATCTAATTCGTATCCTTTAATGAAAAATAATTTGACCACGTTTAATTTCATACTTTATCGTATTCACCTTAATTATATTTATTTAAAAAATTTAGTTTCATCTCCACGCTGATATCTAGCGTTTTAATGTATCATCTGGCATGGGTTTCGACAGTGGCGCCAATTGCAGATGTTGAAGAACGGGTAACTTTATTTTGCCTTTTAATTATTTAAAGGGAGAAGAAGGAAAAAATAAATTTATTTCATTAACTTTATTCAATAGAATGGGAAGAATCTATTTTATGATCCATTATGGGCACAATTAGGGTAAATTTTAATTTTTTGAGAGAGAGCTCTAATTATGAATGGTTCAAAGTAATCAGGTTTTTTAGTTTGCGAGATGCTACGCTGAATACTATTATTATCTTTGTTTTTAACCTTTTTAGGGACTTGTATGGTAGCATAGGCACACCTTCGATAATGAGCCGGACCATTATTGTTGGTACAGATGTAAACACAGTCCGTCGTATCTTATTTGTTTTGAGTTATTTTATTCGATGTAATGAAGTTTACGAAAGAATGGAACATATGATTTCGACAGAAAGCCAATCTGAAGAACAGGTGGATCCTGAAAATAATAATATTGGTTCAAAAAGTTCCTCTTCTGAAGGTGCGTCAAAAATTACTGAATGACAACAATGTAATTAAATAAAGTTGATAAAGATGAGTCTTTTTTTTTTTTAAAAAAAAAAAAAAAAAAAAAAAAAAAAAAAAAAGAAAACACTGCAGATACTTCCAATTCAAATTCATTGGACGAGAATAAATCTGATAATCGACGGAAAAGCGTTAATTTAGATTTATCATTTGACAATTTCACCGATAACTTATTGGAAGTTCCAATGCCAAGGTAAATTTCAACCTTATCGAATATACACATTCATTATTCTATTTAATCATAATTGTTGTATACAGATCACAAACTTCAACCATAATACCGGACGTATCATCCTACGAAACACGTAATGAAAATGACGAACCGTCCAGTAAAAAACTCCCGTATCGAGCAGATGAATTATTTTTAAAATCGTACGGTAGATCACTTATGGTCGGTTGCTGTGATACTTACATGTCCGATTTTGTATTGATGGGCCTTCCTAAACTCGGTGAATTTCAAGAATCATTGGAGAGTGACTTAAGGAATTCTCTGCTGGTAAAATCGCAATTGTGATTGTTCACAATTCGGTAAAATAATTAAATATCAGAAATTTTGAATGATACAATTATTTTAATTTATGATATGTACTTTTTATAGATGCAGCCGCTATCTTCTCAAGACCCAGTTTCAAAATCCGTTTGCATTTTGGGGCAGTTGAATACATTGCAAGTACACAATATTGCACGATATTTTGGCACATATTGCAATATATATTAATATGTACATAACATAATTATAGAAATTGTTCGGTTCTAGGCTGTGATGCATACGGAAGTCGACATGTGATTGGAAATTCAACAGTTACGGTTGATGGAGATCACATAAGAAATGGCGCTGGATATTTCCTTCCGCTTCATACATCAAATTACATATACGCAATGTTACATCAATGTAAAGATTTGTATACAACCATGGGAATGCCTGCAGAATCTGTAAGCAAATATTCTTTTAATTTATTAAAAAAAAAAAAGGACTGAAGTTTACATAATCTCATAAATTTGTATTCTAATTATAGTGCCTCGAGTATATGGAAGATCATCTGAGATTATTGTACTATAAGGCTGTGATGTACAAGAAATTATTTTCATCCTCACTCCCTACATCCACCGCCACAGGAACATCTCCCTCAATAGCATCCCCATCAATTTATATGCCACCTTCATCGGTTGATCATGTTCCGTTGGATATATTGGATGTTATAGGTTTACAAAAATCGGATATTCCTTTAGTGAAAGCCATAAATTCAACTTTCTAACTTGTATCCGTGTTTATCAATCCTCTTTTATTTGATTTAAATTAATTATTTATTGAATTAACAATTATCTTAAAATTCATTTGGTTTTATTTATAAATTTTTGAATGTTTCACAATTTATTTATTTCTTTTTTATTTCTTTTATAATAAACTTTTAATTACACGTGAAAAATATAAATGTCGAGAGATATGTATGATAGTTACTGTATATTGAAATCAGTCAATCACTACGTAAATACTACTTACACGAGTCGTTTCTATGCGCATAATAAAATGACAGGGTGGGAAAAATTATGCAAATTAATCTATTAAACAGTATATTTAATATATCAAAATCAGCAAAGTTAAAAAAAACATTCGTAAAACATGTCACTTGAGCAGAATTAATTGATCAAATTATTTAGTTAGAACACTTACGGACAAATCTTTTTTTTTTATTTTTATTGTATTCATTACGAATAAATAAATCATTTAATGAACAAAAAAAATTTCATTTTCAATATTTAATATACATGAAAAGGTGATATATTTATTACAGTTTTAAACTTATCATTTGTTTAAAATTTTTTTTATTGATTGACAAATGTATTTTATTTATTTATTTATTCTCTTTGATTTGATCCAACAGCACTTCTTAAAGAATTGTTGAAAAATTGATATACGGGGGCGTAGTAGCAACGAGGTGTTACACGAGCACGAGAAGACACTTCTTTTCCTTTCGTTTTTTTATAATTTGCCGCAAGTAAATGATAACTGCATTTTCTTTTCATTCAAACCAACATTACAAACGAGCCTCAACGACCACGGATGTAATGATGAATATCAGTAGCAATGGAATTGAAAATTCAAATTTTACAGAAGAAAGTCATCACTATCATCCATTATATCAAAATCATCATGAATTTGTAAGTAAAGACATAAAAGAAGGATTGGTCTTAAATGAGACATCATCTCCTGAACAGTCACCTAACACCTTAACCAGTCATGTTTATCATCATTATCTACCTCCTTATCGTCAAGTTAAACGTCGACGTCGACTCACCGAAGAAGAAACAAATGTATTGAATAACGTTTTTGAAAATGTACAAAAACCTGATGCAGCTACACGTGCTCAATTGGCTCAACAATTAAATATATCCTCACGTGCAATTCAAGTTTGGTTTCAAAATCGTAGAGCAAAGGTTAAAAGAGACGCATTGGAATCAAAAAATGCATCAAAAAATAAACCAAAGAAATTAACATTAGCTGTAGATTATTTCCCGGAAAAGATGAAACCACCAAAGAATATTTCAAATCCTATTGGTAATTCCCGTACAAATTTACCCAGAAAATCCAGAATTACGCCAATTTTGGCTAACCTTAGTACTTCACCTGAAGAACCAAAATTAGAAATTCCTGTTAACGTTAATTATTGGAACTATCGATCCACTTACGATTCTTATGCTAGTGGAAGTAGTCTTACAGATGGGCAAAGTAAATCAATTTTTTATTCTTTCGTCTATTTAAAGATATATTGAAAAAGTTATATAATTATAATTTTCTAAAAAAAAAAAAAAAAAAAAAAAAAAAAAAATAGATTTTGAAGCTACACCTTTGGCATTACCATATTTTCCCAACAACTTTTTTCATGATAACAATTGTGCCGATTCTTTCCGTTATAATTTATCTTCTCCTGTACAAGTTGATGATGGTAATATACTTAATTTCTTAACATCTCAACAATTTTTTCGATAATAATCGAACTTCAATTTGTTTTTTCAGGCGCAACGCAGAAAACCGATTCTAATCTTAATATTTTCGGGTCCCACGCAAATCAATATGTGATTTCAAGCTCAACGACCGCCAAATCTGCGATAAACGATCTATCCATCTCTCAAAGCGTTCGATATTTGCCTTTATCCGTCACATCCAACTATACGTCAACCGTATGGCCAATTCCCAAGGCGGCCGAAGATGTTATTTCAATTACAAAGATCATCTAAAACAATTGGGTTCTCAGAAATTCATGTCACGTGCCCTTTCTATTTTGGCTAGCGAAATAACATTTGACAATATGATTGGGAAAGTCTGTATCAAAGTTGAAAATGGATAAATATTATATTATGTATATTACTTGTCGTATAAATCTTTATCTAATTTTATCTAAAAGAACACTTTGAGTAAACATTTGTGATTTCACGCATTTTGTCACGTGTGGAAGTTTTTAATTTACATGTAATTACAAAAGATATCGTTATTGCTGGAATTCAAAACTTATTATTTCAGTTACCATATTAGGTAATAAAAATCGCCGATCATTTCGGTATATCACGTGAATTAACAATTAACACTTTGCGGAAAAAAAGTATAAAAATTTCCAAATTCTCTATAAGGTCTTTTTTTTCACCTTTACTAACATCCATCTATCTTTCGTCCATCTTTTTTGTTTCTTTTCTTTCCTATACAACCTAAAGAATAAAACATGTCTTATACTTCAAATTATGGTGCTCCGGGTGTTCCCGCTCCTCCAGGAACATTGTATACAGCTACCTCCTCTTCTACTTATGGTGGTAGTAGTGCTGCCCCACCATCGTCTTCAACTTATGGCACCAGTGGATCTTCCTATAATAATAGTGGTTCTTATAAAAATTCTTCTGGTTATAGTTCTTCATCTTACTCTTCAAGATATGGAAACGAACGTGGTGTAGATCGTTCTTATGATGATCGCAGTCGGAGGGATCGTAAGGAGTAGGTTTTACTTTTATTTTAATTATTAGTTCTTCTTTTATTGCTGCTTATATATCAAGTCAAATATTCTTATAAGAACTTTATTACGTCTAATGAGGATATCTGTATAAATATTTTATTGCATTAGCAGTCATGTTTATCGTAAAGGTTAACGAGGTTAACCGAATAAGTAGAGAATTAACTAACCCCCGTTATTGATTCAAATTAATTTTAGATATGATTCTCGCAGCTCTAGCTATCGAGATCGTAGTCCAACTTATGAAAATTATGGAAGTCGGGAACGTTATTCATCATCGAGCTATCGTCCAGGAGGAAATAACACCGCCTCCTATTCAAATGATCGTATGTCAAACCTTGGATCAGGTTTGATTAAACAGGAGTGGGATTTCTCTAAACTCCATAAATTTGAAAAGAATTTTTATCGGGAACATCCTGAAGTCATTTCACGATCAGTTGTCGAAGTGGAGGAGTACCGTAAATTTCATGATATGAAAGTCTTTGGTCGTGAAATCCCAAAACCAGTAGAGACTTTTGAAGAGGCCAATTTTCCAGGTATTTTTCTCAATATACCTTTAAATTTAAATAAGTTTCACTATTTCTTTTCGGATTATATTTTGAAAATTCTTTTTTCTTACAAATTACTTTAGCTTATGTGTTGAAAGAAGTATTGGACCTCGGATTTAAAGCTCCCACGCCAATTCAATCTCAAGGATGGCCGATGGCACTTTCTGGGCGTGATGTTGTAGGTATAGCTGAAACAGGATCTGGCAAAACTCTAGCCTACTGTTTACCGGCTATCGTACATATCAATGCCCAACCGTTCCTTGAACCTGGTGATGGTCCGATTGTTCTAATTCTCGCTCCTACACGTGAATTAGCCGTGCAAATTCAACAAGAATGTACCAAATTCGGCAAGTCCTCAAAGATTAAAAATACCTGTGTATACGGTGGTGTACCTAAAGGACCTCAAGCTCGCGAGTTGTCACAAGGTGTTGAAATTTGCATTGCGACACCTGGTCGTTTAATCGATATGTTAGAATCTAGGCGAACAAATCTTCGCCGAGTTACTTACCTTGTTCTAGATGAAGCAGATCGTATGTTAGATATGGGATTTGAACCTCAAATTCGTAAGATAGTTGATCAAATTCGACCAGATAGACAAACACTTATGTGGAGTGCAACTTGGCCAAAAGAAGTTAAAAAGCTCGCCGAAGATTATCTTCATGATTTTATTCAGGTGAACATTGGTTCATTAGATTTATCGGCGAGTCATAACATTACGCAGGTAGTCGAAGTTTGTGCAGAGTACGAAAAACGAACAAAGTAAGCACCGACTATGTTTACAAATAAGTTTGATATTGATAATATGCATCGTTTATTTATTTACTTTGATTATTGTAGATTAGTTAAACATCTTGAGAGGATTATGGATCAAAAAGATAATAAAACATTAATCTTTACTGGAACTAAGCGTACAGCGGACGAAATTACTAAATACTTGCGTCAAGATGGTTGGCCAGCACTTGCAATTCATGGTGATAAGGCTCAGAGTGAACGTGATTGGGTTTTAAGTGAATTTCGGAGTGGAAAATCCCCAATTATGGTCGCTACTGATGTTGCATCTAGAGGAATCGGTATGATTTATTAACTATATTTTTGCAGTTTTTAGTTATTTTAACGATTTCTTGCCCTTTCGCGTAAGTATGTAGGTCCCCCCTCAAAATGCCAGCAGTAGCCGCGGGCAGAAAGTGCAATCTAATAACGAGTTTTAAATTAAAAATTGAAAAAAAAAAAAAAAAATTATCTTGGGCACGATCAAAATTAAATAATAAACCTTTACGAAAAAAAAAAAAAGATCAAATATATATATTTATATATATCTCTCTCCATCTATCTATATACACATATAAATAAAAAAACCCCCCAACACAAACACCACAAAACACGAAGAAATTCCGTCTCTTGGCTAGTTTTTACCGGGTCCTGTTTGGAGTGCCCTTATATTTGGATTTAAGCTCTAGCCGATTCAATTGCTTACCAATAGCTTAAATGTTTCCTCACGTATTTGTATAGCCAGCTTAGATTAACTGGCTAGGAGAAAACTATCCATATAACGGTAACTCATGACAAAACTAGCTCAGGCGGTTTTTTGAAGTGCTAAAACTTGAATTGAGGAATTTCATGGGTGCCGTCATTCTTTATCAAAAGAAACGTCATGTTGTGTTGTCCTCTTTTTGTGATACTTTCTTTACTTGCCTGCCGCTGCTCTTCGATTCTGGCATTGGGACTTACATATCCTTTTATCCTTTTATATTATATTACTATTATTTGTTTGTCTATTCTGTTTTGTTTGCCATTTGAATTTTTTTTTTTTTCTGCTCGTTCGTCATTGTATCGATGAAATTGCACGAAAGTTATCTTGATTGCTTATGTGCATTTATATATAATTGACGCCGGCTGATAGAGTACCCTTGCTAGATAGTAAGATTCTCTGATTAATTTATTTGCTCACAAAATTTTTTTGGACTTCAGATGTTAAAGATGTTAAGCTTGTTATCAACTACGATTTTCCCACTAATGTAGAGGTAATTATATATACCGTATAATCATTTTGAAGATTTTAAATTATTTGCCTTCTATCTTTACATTCTTAGTATTACAGTCATATCTTTTAACGATTTTCGCTTTATTATAGGATTATGTTCATCGTATTGGACGAACAGGTCGTGGTGGTGCCAAAGGCTCTGCTATAACGTTCTTCACAATGGACAATGCTAAACAAGCTAAAGATTTGGTGAATATATTGCGGGAAGCTAATCAGGAAGTGGATCCAAAACTGACAGATTTAGCAAAAATTTCTACTGTCAATCCTAATAGTGGCAAGTGTTTATGTTATTCTCGTTTTCAACAATTTATTCTTCGTAGCAAAAAAATTAAAACCATTTACAATTTGAATTAGGACGGGGAAGGTATGGTAGTGCGCGTTATGGTTCTAACAATAGTAGTAGCCGCTCTCGTTGGTAATATATTAGAGTTTGTGGAGTGTATTGACTTGGACTTGGAATGATAGAAATACCTCTGTGTTAATCATGATTCGTTTTAAGTGCGTTTAAATAGTAACGTTATAAAATGCGTATGATTTCAATTTATTATATATAATGCAACATATTAGAATTACAAAACAAATAAATAAATCAATAATTTTTTCACGAAAAATTATTATTGTTTGATTTTTATAATGATTGTCATGTTATACAACTTATATCACAGTTTGATCTTTTCGAAATAAAAAATTTGTAAATAAAATATTAGTTTTATATGTAAAATAAAATAATCTTTATAGAATTACTTAATTTAATAAAAATGAAATAATAAAATGAAAGTAAAATAATCAACATATATTTATAAAAAAAACCGTTTAAATTCTTTTCTTTTTTATTATTTTCAAATATTTAAAAATTACTTTTCTTTTTTATTATTATATTTAATTATTATTAATGCTTTTACTCATTATCAATTCTTTTTTTTTATGATCAAATTGATCATTTTATTTTTTATTTTTAATAAATTAACTTTTGTTTTTTATTATTTAATTATCATTTCTTTATTATTACTATATTTTTTTAATCTTAATTTTCTTTCAATAAATATATTATTAAATTGTTTTATTTTATATTTTCTTTAATTTAAATTTATAATTATTTATATAAATATAAAAATAATAATAAACTTATATTAAAATAATTTTTATAAATTTATATAAATTATATATAAAATTATATAAGGTTTAATTTAAATTATATAATATTATATAAGTTTAACAGATTTAATATAAGATTATATTTTATAAGATTATATATACTTTATTTAAATATTAAGATTTTATAAATTATAATAGGATATCTATGTAATTTAATTTTATATGTTAAATGTAATATTTTTTTAGTAAATAAGTTCAAATTTAATATTAATTTAAAAATTTTTTAATTTTTTTTTTTAAAATTTTTATTTTTTATAAAGCATTTATATAAATATATTATTTGCTTTTTATATATTTTTTTTAAAGGTATAGAAAATTTATAAAATCTTTATTAAACTTATATAATTATAATAATCTAAGAATAAAATAAAAATATTTACTAAATATATTAATTAAATAATATTAAATTAAATTATTTTATCAATACTAATTTTATATTAATTAGAATTTAAGTTATTTAAAATAATATTATTAAATATCTAAATAGAAAAATGTAAATACTTTTTGATTAAATTAATTAACATATAGATGGTAATCAATAGAAAGGGGAAATCTAAATTTTTGATAAAATTTTTTTTATTATTTTACTTGATCTTTATAATTATATGCTCAAAATTAATTAAAAATTTCAGATTTTTCTCTTTTTTACTCTTATATTTTACAGGTTAAAGTAATTATATAATAAAAAAAAATATATATATTTAATAAGATAATAGTAATATTAAAAAAAAAACTCAATATGATCTTAAATAAATTAAAATTGATTTATAAAATATAGTATATATAGGTAATAAATATATACTTTTTTATTTCACTATTTTTTTTTTATAATGATTATAATTCACATTTTTTTTATTTATTAAATATATAATATAAATCAAAATAGAAAATTATTAATCTAAATAAAAATTAGTAATATATACCATTAATCTAAGCTAACTAAATATAATAAAATTTTTAATATTTAAATAAAATAAATAAAAAAATAAAAAAATAATATAAATCAAAAATAATAAAAATATTGAAAAAGAAAGAATAAAAATGAATTATTACCAAATTTATATTTATATTCATTTTTTAAAAATAATTATATTAAATAAAAATTTATATTGTTAAAAAAAGTTATTTATAGAGAATTAGAAAAAAAGTTTTTATTTTTATTAAAATCAGATTTTGATATATATTAATTAAAGATAGAATTTTAATTAGTCATATCTAGTTGTAATTGATTACAACTTTAAAATGCAATTATAATTAGTTATAATTAGCTATAACTAATTATAGATTTATTTTTAATATTAATAAAGTTAAAATATTTAGCTAAATAGAATATATTCTTATTGCATTTTACATTTTTTCATTATAATATAAATAAGAAAGAGATTATCTAAAGATGTAGTTGTATAAGAAAAGAAAGTTGTGGAAAAATTCGTTTTTTTCAGATTAGAAAGAATCTAATAAAGTTAATTTTTTTTAAATTCTTATAAAAAAATGAATATTAAATTTTATTAATTTGGTGTTTTGATAAATTTACTGAGAACATTTCAGCATTTGAACTTGAAATTCTTTTTTTTTTTCTTAAGTGCTGTAAACTGTTCAGTTAGATACCCTTTAAAGTTTTAGATATTTAATAGTTATAGATACACACATCTTGTGATATTTGCTTTAAAACGACCTACTATATTTTATAATTGCAAGTAAATAATTTGAAACATGTTATTAGGTGATGTAAACTTTTTCTACATTCTGGAAATATTTTTCTTAATAAGAAGTTGACATGAAGTCAAATGACACTGTTAAAATTTAATGACGTGTAAACATTTGAAAAACTTTTAATAAAGTATTTTCTCTACAATGGAATTGGTCATAAATGGGAAAAGAACCTTTTTATTTTATTTTATTTTTGAAGATGAACATCAATTTAATTAAAGAAACTGATGAAACAACGAACAACGATAATGATTTTGCTAAATCGTCGACATCATCAACAGAAGCTACTGAAATCCAAGCTCAAGGCATATTTCCTCAAAGTTCGATTCGTAAATTTTTTCCGTTGATTATTCCAACAACAACGAATCCTTTCGGGGAATACATTCCAATCCATATTGCAATCCAACGATTTCAGCGATCTCCAGTGAATCAAAATCCACCTTATTATGAAGTTCCTGTGCTTGGCAACTTGCCAACGGTTCGTCATGCTTATGCGGAATGGTATTTTGGAATTGATGAAAATCCTGCAATCATCTCATGTATAAGAAAGTATGGGAAAGAATGGGAGAAAAGGAATCAACGGAGATTGTCGAGAAGAAAGATTTTGATCCGTGAGATTGAACTAAGGGAGACTGATTTTTCTACTGAAGAAGTTTTGGAGATTTTGGAGATTTTGCGAGATGGAAGTACTTTAAACAAATTAATTGATGTTAAATTATTAGGGCATGATAAATAATGGCATATGGTTGACCGCAGTGACTCTTGTTTCTATTTTTGTAATGCAGATTCATTGGATTTCAAAAAAACAACTAACTTTGTCAGTGAACAGTTTTTTCTAAAAATAAAGTTTTTCAACCACAACATTACTATAAAAAGGTATAAAATTATAAACCTTTATTCGTTCTAAATCAGTTTTGTACTACAATAGATATCATTTATATGGAAATGCTACGCCACATATTTTCTAATATAATATATTCATTGTAATGATTTTATTCAGAATTTCTAACTAAAAAAAAACTTGTTCCCATAAAAAAAAAAAAAGGAAAAAGAAAATTACAGGATGAGTGCACAAGGTGATAAAAGGAATTCCCTTATAGAATCATTCATGAGCGACAGGCCGTCTCTCTGCATGTCTACAGCTACAATAGATTCCGAAACACTTTTACCACCACCCATTCATTTTACGACAACGATTCATGATCCACCTATGTCAATTCGTCGAGATCCTTATGTCGCTTCACAATATCTTCAACCAAACTTAAAATATTGTCCCTTAAATTCAAATAATGATGACGAAATCAATACTGAAAAAAATTGGTCTTTACTTGATGATATAAATCTTTATCATAAGTTAATTAATGATAATTTAAATATAAATAATAAAAATGATCAGGAAGAGAAAATCGCAACAGAACAAGGAGAAATTTTGAAAGAAAATGAATATATAAACCCCTTACTAAGTCCTTATGATCCATCATGGGTTCCTGAGCCACCCTCTTCCAGTCCAATATTATCAAAATTTGCTTTTTTCGAATCCGCTGAAAACGGTTCACCTTCTCCCCTAAATAGCAGTAAAAGTAAAAGAAAGGTCACATTCGCCATACCAACACAAATTAGATCACAAAGTGACGAATCGCAATTCGCATCAACTTCTAATCCGGAAACATTATCAAGCGATGTTCATTTAAATGTTGGTTTATTAACAAATGAACAAGGAGAAATATTTAAACCTAAAAATAAATTGAAAACATGGAAAGAATTATGGTCGATGCCTTGGAAAGATGAAGAAACAAAGCGATTTACTAAAAAATTCTGGTTTACCTTTTCCATTACTTTTTGTTTGGTCTTAATATTAGCGGTCATCGGTAAGTATCTAAGTTCGAAAGGTATTTTCTTTTACAAAATATTCTAAAAATTAATAATGCTTCCTTTGATTATAGGAATTTGTCTATACGCTGTATTTTCTCCAAAAACATTCAAAAAAGACTTATCAAATGACATTTAAATGTTATTTTATTCTTATTAAATGTAATATGATATAAAAATTATATGATAAATTAAAAGGGCTCGAAATAGTTTTTTCCTTAAATGTAAAAATCGGAATTAATTTTTAAAATAACTTTCCAAACAGTTTTTTGCCAACATAAATCTATTATGATTCAGATCTAATCTTTTGTTGAGATCATCTCGATTCAAATTGCTCCATGATAATTTTGGAGTACTGTACTCTCTTTTCTTTAAGAAACGTGGATTTTCTCAATTACAAGTGTACAACAGCAAAATCTTTAAAAAAAAAAAATTCATTCATTATGACTAAAAAGCGATTTAATTAGAACTTTAGAGGTACGTTTTTGCAATACTGCGCTTAATTATTTGTTACATCGAATACGTTGTTTTAAATGATCTACAAAACAACTAAAACGCCAACATTGTTATAATAACTGCATGAAAAAATGATTTGAAAGTTAAATTCTCCTCACTTTCGAAAAAAAAAAAAAAATTTGACCTCTCTCAACTCATTAAATTCTAAATAAAACATGGCATCAGATTTGACAGTGGCTATAATTGCATTGTCTGTTTGCCTTTGGCTCCTTGTGATTCACGTTCAAACTCCAATTGAGTTACTATTTCAAACGACAAAATCAATTAATGAAAATAATTCGATAACTTTACGACCTGATAATGACGATGTATATGCGAACTTATATCGAGAATCAACTTTTGATTTTGTCCCAATAGCGTGTAAAGAAACAAAAGCGATTATAAATGTTGAGAATGCGATTGGGATAATTACCTTTTTTCAGTTTCCAGATGGTCTAATTCATGTGTCAGGGGAAATCAATAATGTTACCAAGCACGTTTCTTCTAAGAGATTTTATTTTGAAATTAGGACGTTAGAAAATAAAGGTGTTAATGTTATAATTAGAAATGATGAATTGTTTATTAATAGAAAAAATGATGAAATCATTCACTTTATGTTTAATACAAGATTAATTTCAATTAATAGTAAATGTAATATTAATCAAAAAAGACGACGAAAATATGTTATTGGAAGGAAATTTACCGTTTATATTTTGGAAGAAGATGATGAATAATAACAATCAACTACCGCGGGATTTTCTACCACGAGTTCAATATATAAAATTGTTCGCGAAACATGTATTCTTTCAAGACGGTTTGCCTTTTTGGACTTTTTTAAATGGCACGAAAATTTTGAATTTGAAAAATAAGACTGTTATTCTCTAAAAAAGAGGAATTTATTTAATCATTCGTTACGATAATGAGCTCTTTTAAAGATATGAATTAAATATACAGTATATTATGTAGATAGTAGAATAAAAAGGAATTCTAGAGCCTAATGCACGCAAAATTCAAAACAATATCAAAATTGAATTATAACCAAAAAGTAAATTTGGGATTAGAAAGTATAAATTTATAAAAAATTAATTAAAAATAATAGTATTCGTTTAATAATTTTTCTCTTTTTGCTAATTCAAGTCAAGGAATTTACCAAATAAGGAAACACGTTCTAAAACTTTTTAATAAAATGATCTGCATAAATTTGATTGGCTTTTACATACTTTTAAAAGTAACGCGAAAATTTTAAAAAAGAACCTTGTGCAATACATAATCGTGAGACAAATTTCGTACTTTTACTAAGTTTACATATGAAAAAACTAAAACAAAAAGGAACATTAATATATTTAATTATTTAAAGTTAGTGACCAACTTTGTCAAATGCATTACAACAATATTGTTAAGATTCATTTTTTTATAAAAATTTAAATAAAATTTTATTATAAAAATAAAAACAACTAAATTATTTCATCGATTTTGATCTCGTTCCTAATAAACTAAAGATAAAAAAAAATAATCACGTTAGATTTACGAGATAAAATTTATACATTTTTAAATGTTCCTGTTTAAAAAAAAAAAAAAAACATGGTTTCCCTAGATAAACGCCAAAAGATCAACACTGTTAGGAGCGACGCATGATGACTGAACTGGGACCAGAAACGGTTAAACGCAGGTTTTTCTCTCGCAAGGAAAGAAAAATATTTTTATCTCTCGAAGAGAAGAAAGTTTTTATCTCTTTAAGAGAAGAAAACAATACATAGCGTTCTGCATATATACACAAAAACTCGCTTCGTCGAAAATTAAAAAAAAAGATTACTATGTAAGTTACAAAAGTCCTTACTTTTTATTGGTTTTTCTTTTGTAAAAATTTCTTTCGATTTTCTGGGATATTAAAATATATAAGGGAAGGGTGAGGTGGAGAGTATTAATAATAAAATCAAGAAGGGTAAAGGAAAAAAAGATGAAATTACACTTGGGGATAATAAAATATATAAGGGAAGGGTAAAGGAAAACGTTAAAATTTTTGTGAGGTGAGGTGGGGAGTATTTATAATAAATCAAGAAGGGTAAAGGAAAAAAAGTTGAAATTTTTGTGAGGAGAAGTGGGGAGTATTTATAATAAAATCAAAGACGCGTAATATGGAATGTTTATGTTTACATCAGCCTAACTATTGTTACTGATTCTAGAGACGCGTTATTAATTTCTAAAAATAAAATTATTGAGACGCGTTATTCTTTATTGTTACAACTGAATTTCTAAAAATAAATTTTTGAGAGAAGCGTTATTATTGATTGTTATGGTTCTGATTTCTAAAAATAAATCATTGCTGACGCGTTATTATTTACTGATACAAACTCCGATTTCTAAAAGTAAATTATTGACACGTAAATGAAATTAAACGCAAAGTTTTAAAGAAAACTCTAAAATCAATTTTTTTTATTTTATAAGAAAAGTAAAGAGTTTTTATAAAATTTATTACATAAAATAGAAATATGCTGATAAATCGAAATCTTATTCCGTTCGAAAAACTTCGGTAAGATACGCATAAAATCTTAGCAGATATAACCTGTAAAAAAAGTGTCAGCATGTTGTAAAATGAAGGTTAAGTTCGAAATTTTGAAAATATATTCGCGTTAAAACTTCTTATCTCGATAGTATGCAAAATGACAACTAATATGATAATAGTAGAGGAAATATCTCCAAACGACAAGAAAGTTCACGAGACTGTTAGATTAAAAGGTACGTATGATTTCAATATATTTTTGGTAGTCATCGTCCGTTAACGCCTCCAATCGAAGATAAAAATTAGAATCAATAATATTTCCAACGTTTGGACAAGATATCTCGGATTATTTTTCTCTAGACTACCAATGTACTTTTGCCCCTAAATGATGGACCATTTGCGATAGGGAGATTGAAACGAAAAATCCATTATCATATTGTCATACTTCCACAGATTAAAGGAACTCGATAAGAAAATAAGCGTTTCTTATTCATGGCAAAATATAACCAAAGCTAACACCACCTTATTTGTTTATAGTAATAAGGTATATGATCCTTCAAATGAGGACAATTTGTTTGGAAATGATAGCGTTACAGAATGGCTTCGAGGTCTCCTCGGTAAAGATGCAACAAGAGAGATTCTTCACACAAGGAGGTATCAAAATGTTAATCTAATTTAAAGCAGGAAACGTTGAAGGTACAACCATCGGATGTTTTGCGAATAGTATAATGACAGTCGAATTCACAGGAATTCTTTAATCAAGTTCATTTCCGCTATAGAATTTGATTGGTTTCTATCATGGCAGCTTGGTAAATATCGAACGACATCACACATTATATTATTAGTCACGTGTTATTCAGAAGACGAACATTTAAAGCGCACAACACTTGATTCATTGGCCAGTACGGATTATTCTGACAAGCACAAATTATTAATGGTAATCGCTGAAGGGACATAACCGGATCAGATAACGATAAAACAACTCCGGAGATATGCGAGGATTTAATTGAACCATTCAATTTATCTAGTTTCGATTTAGCCATAGGAAAGGTAAAAAAGCAACACAAATTATCGGATATATAATTGTAATGGACATCATGTTCCAATGCGTTTTATTAATAAAGATGGCACACCAGAAGAACGAAAAAGGGCTTAAATCCAGTAAACGAGATTCACAGCTTATATTAATGGAATGGCTTAGCAACATATTTTTTAACGAACGTATGACACCATTGGAATTCGAATTGTTTGAAAAGGTACGAACATTAACGGGTGTAACGTTTTATAAATAAGAGATGAGATGCAGAAACGCTAGTAATGAAGGATAGTGTTAGTAGGATGGTGGCAGTGATGGAACGTGATCCAACGGTTATGGGACTTTGTGGAGAAAGGAAAATAGCGAATAAGAAACGAGTTGGGTTACAATGATCCAAGTATTTGAATATTATACTTTGCATCATCTTGGAAAATCTTTGAATCAATATTTGGTGGAGTAACCTGTTTGCCAGGGTATTTTTGTATGTATCGTATCAAAGCACCAAAATAATGGATATTCCATTCCCATACTCGCAAAATCCTATCGTAGAATTATATTATTCAACCACCGTAGAAATGTTGCATCAAAAATTTATTGCTCCTTGGAGAAGATAGGTACCCTAACACTTTAATGTTGAGAGCATTCTCGAAACGTAAAATGATTTATGTACCAAAGACGATATGTAAAATTATAGTTCCGGATGAGTTTAAAGTATTATTGTCACAAAAAAAGAAAATGGATTGACTCTACGATACGTCATTGATGTAATTAATTCTCGTATCACAACTTTGTGGTATGTTTTTCTGTGCAATTTGTTACATTTTTGGAATTGGTTGGAACGGTTGTATTACCTCTTCACTAATATTTTTGGTCTATTTAATCATTGCCGGTGGCTTAGTGTTGATGATACTTTTCCTTGATATTTAATGCTTGTTAATTTCCTTTTACAAGCGTTTTTGGTCATCTTTACTAGTACATCTCACAAAGTTATTTGTCATGTGGATGATTATTTTTTGTCGGCCATGCCTGTTTGGAATTTCATCTTACCTGCTGGCATTTCGATGATTTTTCATAGGGTGCAACTCGTAAAATTTCTTGTGAAGACAATGGTCATGGAGGAGACTAACCGATGTATTTGGAAGAAATCATATTCCAAGAAAGAATAATGTGTCAACTTGACCATTTTATCATTAGTAACGGAATTTTTTTTTTTTTAAGGATCCGTGAATAACATTTTCTTTGATTGAATTAGCTAATAAATATTTCAAAAGATTAATTAATTAATTAATTCCGATGTCAACCTTGACAAAATTAATATAGAAACTATGACTACCGCGTAACCTTAACAAAATGTCACGAAGTGACCGGCAATAAAGTTTCCCGCCAGAATTAAAGGGCAGTATTAAAGGGGGAAATCTAAAATATTTTTTCACAATCATGTGCTCATAATTAGCTTAGAACTAAAATTAACAAAAATTTCAGATTCCCTTTTATGACGCCCTCTCAAATAGAAGTTTGTCAACAAAAAAATTTCTGTCCTGAAATAATGAACAGTAGGTGATAAAAAATGTCTCACGGTTTCGAGAAGGCAGAAACTATATGCTGCGCAAGCGTTACTAAACCAGACAATTATATAATTAATAACATTATTATAACGTTATATATTTTATTAATAGAGATAATTGTCAAAAATGTTGTCCTTGGTCAAAGACGAGAAAGGAACGAAAGATGAAAGACGGGGTAACAAAATTAAAATATTTAAACTTGCCGCAAAAGCAGATAAGTTTGGAAAAGATAAATTCAATCGATATTTCTGTTTTGGATTTGGACTACATCTACCATCAATTCGGGTATGAATATATAAGCTGATAGATTTAACCAGACTGGGTTAAACAATTTACTTTAAAATGCTAAATTGTATTTATTGTTATTTGGCAATTTTTAAAGGAAAGAAGTAGGCACATTTATCAAATTCAGGGGCCTGAGGGAGTTATAATGTTGATTCCTTTCCTTTACCACAAACCGCCAAAGTCACCCAACTTTTTGTTCGCTATTTCCACCACCATGTTTCCGTTCAATATCTCCGTGGTCGGTTGTCATTACTTATCAGAATTTTTTTTTCATTGGAACATAGGTACCACAATTTGTGTCATTCAGAACTTAGTGTTTCATCAATATTTGATGAAAGCTCATTTCAAAATCTGCCAATTCCTACGTGAATAATTCAATTAAAGAAAACTTTGCCATTACCAGTTCAATGTAATTATCACTTTTTTAACAAATCGTTATTAATAAAAAAAATATCATAGTACAACTTTGACCATCAGTTTACATTTTTTTTAAAAAATATCGTAATACGAATTTATATTATTTAAGAATCTAGTGTTCTCGGTAGAATTGGATCGGTTCGGCCCGGTACGGTCAAAAAAGACCGGTCTTTTATCTTTCTTTGGGACGGTCTTTAGAATATGAATCCCACCAGGATCGATCCAATAAAAACCTTAAATCCTCATATTAAAAACAATTTAATTAATTAGTTCTTAAAGATGCATGCATTTACAAGGTCGGATTAAAATTTGAGTTTAAATTCACGAACTAATAAATTAAAATCTAAAAATATATATATTTTTATTATATTTTTATATATTCTATTTGAATCCAGACCCATATTATGACAAACTTAACATTTAAAATTCAATCACATTAATTTCGTTAAATCGTAATGTATTTTTTATTTTATTTTATTTATTTGTTATAAAATAAAGAATATTAATTTTTTTTGCTTAAATGACTTAAATCAACAAAAAAATTATTTTATCATTTACTGAAATAAAAAAGCAATTAAAAAAAAAAACTTAAAATACCAATTACAAAAATAAAACGTTATGCCTCTTTTATTAAGATAAGCGAAATAATCAAAAATACAATATATAAAAATAAGAAATAGTAGAAATTATTTCACTCATAACTTTTCACTTTTCACTTCCCAACCCGCTATTAAATGTAAAAATGGATGAGAGAGTCAACAGATCACTGATCACCAAACAGGAATCTAGAGAGAGGATCACCCGAGACAACCATAGTAGGAATCTTGAACGGATCACCTAAGGGATCACCCGAGCTCACCTAAGAGGAATCTAATGCGAGGTCACCACTGATTAGATTAACTGAGGAATCCAAAGCGACAGTACACTTTCTCAATGTGATCTAGACTTATAAAATAAGGTCCTTTTTATTCCAAACCTTCATTTTCAGAAAATTGTGGGATTTCAGGTTGTTGATCAAATGTCACGTGATTATCGTTGCACATAAATTTAAAAACCAGTTATTTTGTCACACACGATTTCTCAAAACTTCAACTTCTTGACTTTTACAAAAATCCGCAATGCTCGACAACGTGCAAAAAAATTTCGCTTTCAAAGAAAAATGATGCTGAAGCACAAGAAGAAAATGAAAGAATATTTGTGAACGATCAGTGCACAAGCTAGTTACGATGTTAACAAGAATAAATCTTATGAAGGAAGGTTGCAAAGGGATGTAAAAGAATCAAGGACAAGGAACTATCATTTGGGACGTGCTTTGAAAAGAGGGATTTACTTTGGATTCGCCGAATGGATGGGTTTTGTAAGTGCTTTTCGGTTTTATTAAGGTCATTGTGTGGTTTACTTGTTGGGTTTTATTTGAGGAGGTTTTATTTTTATTATTATTCTGAATTTTAAATAAAATTTCTTTTTCACCATGTTTACTAATTTTAAACTTTCTTTTTGTTTTTCGTATGGTTGATAGCAATCCCTCCCCCTCCACTTGTTACTGTCCCCCCCTTCCTTATTTCAGTTCCTTCACCTCCTGTTACAGCTGCAACTTCAGTACTACCTCGCCCTATTGCTCCTATCCGTCGTTTTTCTAGGTAACCAGAACTATAGATCTTGATCCACCAGGCATTTTTGTAGAAACCCCTTACATTCCTCTCCCTAGTCGATGGCCGGAGCCAATGGATCTTGATCCTCCCGGCATTCTCGTTGCCATCGATTATGGTTTATAACATTTCCCCTTCGTTTTTAGCTGGCCACCTCTCCTTCTTATTCGTAGTCTTTGAAATCCTCAAAAAAAATTAAAAAAAATAAAAATTAAAAAAAAAACTTTATACCCTTTGAAAATTTTCACTAGGGTGCTTATCTTTTGATAAGCATTACTACGATACCTTGAATTATCGTATTTATTATATGAAGTTAACTGTTTTGTCGTTCCTTTTTGCATTTAAAATAATCCCAATTGGCCACTTCATCCACATTTTATAGTTTAGAATTATATATATTTTTATTTGTTTTTTTTTTTAATTCTGTTTTTATGTATTTTGATGAAGTCTTGAGGTGGAAATTTTTAAAATTATTTTATGACCCATTATATTCGTATGCACTTTCTTTTTTTTTTTCACCTCAAATATTTTTTATTAACCTAAACGAAACTTGCCACCTTTACGCGGTGTCCAGAAGATACAGTTATAGGTTTTAATTGATTCATAAATCAGTTCAAACTTTCGTTTAAGCAGTACGACAAAATAAGTCAAGACAGTTTTGGAAATATAAGTGTGGTCTATGATACGTTAAAAGCTTATCTTTTGAACACTAGTTAATAAATATTTCAATTATATGATTTCCGTACAATTCGTTATCGGGATGATTAGAGCAGAACAAAAATTTTAATTTTGATATCTATGCCTTCATCATATATTTCCGACACAGAAAATTATCCACATAATTTGTCCAGTTTAAACTGATTCGTTATGAAAAAGTAAGTATTACATTGCACTTTATTTAAGTTATTTTGTAAAGTTATAGTAATTAACAATTTTTTTAAGTATTTCAAATGCAACAATCTGCTAATTCGAAATTGATATATATATTAGAAACAAATTGAAAAAATTTTTTTTATGCATAGAAGTCCAGAATTCTAAATGATGGTGAGATAACGGTCCAATGTCAAAAAGATGATGTAGAATTCTAACTATTGAAAGAAAAACAAATAGGAATAAGTCTGTAGAATCATGAATAAGATCCATCACCGTCCTTCAAAAATTTTAACACCATATTAATATTTTACTGAATACCACCTAGATTATGCAATTTCAAGAATTCAAACTGAAGCTTATAATAATCATCTTATAGAGCTGAACACTATTCTTCATCATGAAGGACAAATTCAGTCAATTATACCGGGCATAAATTTGAGGATAAAATGATCGTTTAGAAGATATCATTAATGTAAATTACTGCATCAAATGTGATGCATTCCTTGATTTAGGAGATGTAATACGAAGGAAAGCAACTCAAACAAGCCGTCAATATAAAAGGTAATTAGTGTATTCCCTCATTGTATTAGCAAAAAGAATGGAAAGTTTTGCATCAAAAAGCATGTAACGCTTGAATTATGAATATATCGAAATTTGGAGCAAATTTTGCTGGACACACATTGATGTCGGCTTCCTGGATATTAATAGTTCTCAGAAAACTTATGGAATTGGAGTTAACATTACTAAGAAATTTAAAAATGTCAAAGACCAAAAGGAATAGAGGCACATCATAGTTGCGCTTGCACACTCGTTATTATTAGGATTGTACCTAACAAAATTCAGAGCACAGGCATAACGTATGGGCATATACACGGGAATGGGCACCAATGTCTATAAAAAAAAAAATCTGGACACTTGGGAGAATCGGCATATACGCAAAATTTTAATAAATTTATTTCGGTTATCAATTTATGAATTATACTTTACAGCTAATTTCAAAAGTTGCGGAAAATGTAAATTTTTAGTTTATCGGCACTGTCGGATTGTTCGGAAATGTCGGCAATGTCAAATGATTAGAAATTTCTCGGCGCTAATTGAATTACATGACTTTTGTGTTTCTTAGTCGTGTTATAAATTCAAAAAATTTTTTATCAGTGCAAGCGCATATTATGTATAAATGGCATGTGCGCAAACTCTAAAATCATGTGCGCATTTTCCGTCTAAACAATTTTAAAGATATGCGCAAAAAAAAATTTTATATGCGCTTTATATATAAAAGTAAAATTACAATGTGCACGCAAAAAAATATTTAGTCCAAAAATGAAATTACAAAAAAATTAAAAAATTTAATTATTTACAAAATTTCCTATACGCCTTACTTTTTAAATTGATCCAATGATCATATGTTTTTCAAAATCAAAGTCTTTTATATCGGGACCATTAATTAAAATCATAAGGTGCTTATTTAAATTTTCTGTACAAAACTTATTTCGGAGCTTTTTTTTAATTAGATTCTGGTGTGAAAAATTCTCTCTGCTGTTACATTTGATAATGGAATAATAAGTGCAATTTTTACTAGTAAGGAAATATAAGGGTAATTATTAATAAAATTTTTATCTACATCAAAAATATGTTTCCATGTTTCCACAAAATTATACTCTCTTTCATGAAAAAGTCTCTAAGTAAAATTTAGCTGAATTCTATTTATCCAACAGTTTTTCTTTATCAATAAATTCCTGCGAAAATGTTACAATCAACTACTTTGGTATCTCTATAATAGTTACCTAAAAATTCGATTTCTTTTTGTTCATAGGTTACCATTTGTCTTTCCGTCTTGGAAAACAATTTAACATCAAATACACTTAAAGCATTATATAGATCAGAATCTGAAAATCTTTCTTGTAAAGCTTTGATCATTGCTTCTGCATAATCTTTAATAAAAAAAGAAAGGGTCTCTTGATTAAAATTATTATGGTTCATATAATTACATAAAATAACCCTATATGTAGGATACTTTCAAGAAAACTTTCAGAAATAGGATTAATAACCATTTTTAAATGAGGTTTAATATGTAAAAATGCAATGTAAGCAGACTGAAAAATATTAATTAATCTTTTAGTATTATTGTCAGATCTGCTAAAAATATAGTAATTATAATAAAATCCTTATTTAATAATAAAGTAAATTCTCAGCTGCCTTTTTTGTTATAAGTTTATATAACTTATTCATATTGTTTAATAATACATAAATTAGTGAAAATTTTTTATTAAAGGTAGCTTTAATTTTATTACTTCTAATAAATAATAAAAATAAAAATAATTATTCATTATTTATTATTAGTTATTAAAAATACTAAATATTACCATATTCCTCTGAAAATAAGTACTCCTCAAAATAAGCATTACTGTATGCCTCTGAAATTAAGCATCCCTTTTTTACTATAGAGATGCTTAATTTCAGATACTAACAAAATTGCTAAATTTTCAATCTTAAAAGCTATGTAAAAATAATAAATGCTTTATATTTCTAATACATTTCTTTTAGAGGTCATATAAAAGAATCTGTAAAATAAGTTTTGCGAAAGTAAATATAATTTAGCGGTAATTCTGAGTGTGTTAATAATAAATGATAATGATGATAATAGTAGCATTGATGGTAATGGCAATTATTAATAATGATGAAGAAATATTGTTGGCAAAGAATTCTTTTAAATAAAATAAATAAAAAACATTGAAATTTATAAAATATTTAATAAATTGGATTTTTTTAGCATTTATTTTATTTTTAGATATTAAAAAATGTGATAGAGCTTATTTTCAGATACTAAAAAAATAAGATAATGCTTATTTTCAGGAAGTGCTTATTTTCAGAGGAATATGGTATCTTATTTTTTTAGTATTCAAAAATAAACACTATCACATTTTTTAGTATCTAAAAATAAAATAAATACTAAACAAACCCGATTTATTAAATATTTTATAAATTTTAATATTTTTTATTTATTTTATTTCAAAGAATTCTTTGCCATCAATATTTCTTTTATTATTATTAACGATTGCTATCACTATTAATGCTACTATTATTGTTATTATCATTTACCATTAATACATTTAGAATTACTGCTAAATTATATTTACTTTTGCAAAACTTATTTTACAGATTCTTTTATATGACTCCTAAAAGAAATATGTTAGAAATATAAAGCATTTATTATTTTTACATAGCTTCTGAGATTGAAAATTTAGCAATTTTGTTAGTACTTAAAATTAAGCATCTCTATAGCAAAAAAGAGATGCTTAATTTTAGAGGTATACAGTATTAAAATATATGAACTGTTATGAGATTAGAATATTTATTACTATTATGTTAAAAATTTTTTAATCAATATTTATAATAATAAAATATTTAATAATATAATTTTTAATATTAAATAAATAAGTATTATAAAATATAAAAATACACATGCTGATTATATTATATGATGTTCAATTTATAAAGCTAAATATAAGCTAACTAATCAAATTTCTTTTTAGCATATATAATAGATAATATATTTATAAGTTAGGATACTCTTTGTAAATGTAAAATTAGAGAAAATAAGATCTCTAGCTAACATAAAGCATGTCTTACAAAACAATAAGAAAGCAAGTAGCAAAAAAAGTAAAATAAACTACTGATCAATTAATAACATATACAGTATATAATAATAAAAGATAATACATAAGGTTAAAATAGAAATAGATAAATAATGCAAAAAATATTTAAGATGTTTTTATAAACGAAGAATAAATCTGAAAAATATTATTAATATTATTTTAAATTAAGATTTAATATAAATAAAAATAAGAATCAACAATAGCAATAACTATAGCAAATCTTATCAAATTTTTAATAATATAAATTTATGTAATAAATTACTTCTAGTATTCTAAGTAAATCTGATTAAAAGTTCATAAAGCAATTTTAAACAAAAAATAAATTTTAATATTACCTTTGCTTCACATATAATAAAAGTTTTCTATCTATTATTCTTATAAAAAGAAATGCTAATATTACTATATTAAGATAATTCTTATAAAAAATTTTTAGCAGAAAATAACATTAACTCAGATAAAATATCTTACAAATTTCAAAATCTTTTAGAAATTAAAAAAATATTAATTATTCAAGTTTTTCTTATGATATTAATATATAGACTTTGCAGAAGTCAATATGAGTATCATGATAATGTAATTAATTTTACTAAAAATGTTTAAGAATTCATCTTAAAGCTTTCTTAATATCTATCATCATTGAATATGTTTATAATATATTATTAATCTGCTAATTAAGAAGTATTAAAGATTTTAAAATTAGTTATATTAAGGTTACTTATGCATTAGTTTAATTAAAAAAAAAATTATTATTATGCTAACATAATCATTAACAATAAAGATCTTCAATCTTTACTAATTGATAATTCAATCAATAAATAGTTTCAAAATATTATTGAAGAAACAGATCACCAAAATTATAATAATAATATAATTATACAAAGCTTTATTTTACTTATTCTTTCTAATAATAGTGAAGATATTGCTATTAAAAACACACTCAATTAAATACAAGATAAAAAACAACCTATTATATAACTACAAATTAATAGCAATTCTGTTAACAAATTTTAGATGCTAGAATGTATTGTATATGCATTCCTATTTTTATATCTAATTGGATATGCAAATCTTTATGCAGAATATATTAAAAATGTAAAGTCTGCTAAATACTTCAAACATCTTTTTATATTTAAAAATAGAAGATTTACATATCATACTTATTGATGATATTTGAATTTTTAAATGTATTGGAAAATATTATAAAAAAGAAAAGTATATATTAAATAAAATCTTACTAATTTTAAAATTACTATTACAGATATATAAGAAAGGATTGCTCTAATAATAACCATATTGCTAATAAAATCATACAGTTTAGAAAAGATTATGAGAATCTTATTAGTTTTAAAATTCATAGTATTACAAACTTTATAATATGATTAAGTAAATAAAAATGCAATATTAATCTTTTTTACATTTAGTACTACTAATCTATGTTCATCAGAATTTTATAAGTTTATGCTAACTAATAATAACTTTAAAACTTTAGCAAAATAAAATAATTAAAACATTATTAGTCATCCCTATATCACAATTTGATTTTTTAGTAATTTATTTAAAATCTTCTTTAATGATATCCTAAAAGTATAATAAGATTTAAAGGATTAGTAATACAAGTAATACAGATTTAATAATAATATCATAATAGTATACATGTTTATGAAATCAAAAAAATAAGAAATACATTTGTAATAGAATAAAAAAAGATGAAGGAAAATGAAAACATAATAATTGAAATTATACAATATCTTGATAGTCTAATAATTATAGTAAATTTAGAATTCAATATGACTGTTTCTGAATGATATCTATATTAAAAGAATAGTAATAAATTAGATGATAATCAATAAGATTATATTAACTTAATTAATAAGTTACAAAGATATACCTAATGTAGTTTAATATATTATTTTCATATAAATCTAAAAGAAAAGCAATTCTGCAGATTCAAATATCTAAAAGAAATTATTCAAAAAACATTTGTATGAGAAAATGACTATAAGCATTTAAAACTTGTGATAGCAAGAAGTGATTAGTATATAAACCTCATATAGCTAACTTTAGCTATAAGAATAATGAGTTAATATAGATTTAAAACTAATTTTAAGCATACATGCTGTATTGTAATATATTTTAAAGTATGTTAACAAATTAGAACTAAAATTAAAAGCTTTTCAAATATACTAAATCAAATTTTTAACAAAAGTTAACCAAAGATTTACTTCTTATCTTAGATTAAAAGCTTTTCAAATATACTAAATCAAATTTTTAACAAAAGTTAACCAAAGATTTACTTCTTATCTTAGTTTAAAAACTACTGCTATATAATATGATAAAATAAAATATTTTTATTCAAGAAACTTATTATATCCTTCTCAGCTTTTCTCTCTACCATTTAAGTCATTAATTTATTTTCTTGAACCTTAATAAGAAAGCATTAAAATATATTTATAATACTAAAAAAAATGAAGAATTTTATAATAATAATATTAATAATAAATAAAAAATAAAAAATTACTTTTAAAAGTATATTGCGAATGATCTATTAAGTTTGAAGATTTTTTTCTATATCAACTTCAATTAATACATAAATTCATCAAAAATAAATAGAATATATCTTCACAAGAAAATATTATACACATTTATTTATACTTATCACTATTATATAAAGGTCTTTAATAGAAAGAGTATTGTCATATAAAAGTTCTTCTTCACATTTATTACAAAATCTTCAATATTTAATGAAAAATGATATTATTAAATATTTTACTTTGTGTAGTAAATATATTAAGAAAATCAATTTTGATCCAGAAATCTACTTAGATTAATACTAAATCATAAGAAAAAATAAAATAATCAATAATAATAAAGAATTAATTAAAGATAGTAAAAATGAAAAATTTAACCTGATGTGATGTTTCTTATTAAAATAAGTCTAAATTCAAATTTTGATTATTCTTTTAATTTAATATTATATAATATAAATTAAAATTATGATTAAATAATAATTTTAAGTAATTTTATTCTAATATAAATTACAAAGATATTATTATATTTGTAAATAAAAACTTTAAGCTTAATGATAAAAAAAGAAGATTTAATAACAGATTATTAACACTAAACAATATTCAAAAAACTGTCTTTAAATAAATAGAATCTTATTATCAAGATATACTTACAGAATATCAAGTTAAACTTTTGAGATTAATTATAATAAGGATTATTAAATTTGAAAAAACTTATATGATCAGAGCAATTTGAAGTAAACTTTAAAAAATAAAAAAATTAGATTCAAGTTATCTATAATTATTCACACTAACTGAAATTATAATGTTTAATATTAATAGAATAATAATATATTTAGAACTATTAATTTTAATATTTAATGATAGTAA